GATGATTTTCTTCCCTCAAGGACTTGTGGATAGGGGGATTAAGGATGGGTGGTGGGGAAAGGCATCATTAATGTAGCCTCCCAGCTCGTCAACCAACTTACTTAATCCCCAGCTCGGCATTGTGTTTATACATCACGCCATATCTCCACGTCACCAAGACTGGCTCGTTGACACACACAACTAGTGTAGTTATAACACATTGCCACTTCACACATACAAATCTGAGTTTTGTGAAACTAAATAATTAAAATAAAATTGGGATTTTTATAACATTGTCGTGTATTCGTGTCGTTACATATATTGTTGGGAATGCAACTTGTTTCAATGCATATATAAATTAGTCATTAAATGTACTGAATGTATCAATGAAGCTGTCAGTGTGGTAGGTTAGGTTAGGTTAGTACTGTGACCAACACAGAAACCGAGTCACCATCACAGATAGACAGTTCACTACCAAAATTGTACTGAAATAGTCATTCAATCATACAGCTAGTCATTCAGGACGTTGATTGAATGACTAATTAGGATAGTTGCTTCATTAATTAGCTGTACAAACATTACTGACAGAATTTCTCAAAACATGACAACAAGCGACGGTCAGTCTCATCAAAAATATACAATTTCTAAATCATTTATTCCAACTAAACCATAAACAGATACTTTTGAAACGTCTAAATAGAATAAAAAAATGAATAACAGAACTCTTGATATAAAATTATTAAATTTGACGTTCAAAAGTGTCAATAGTGGTCGATTTGACATAAATGATTTGACTTTGACATTGACAGTCAAAAAAAAAATAGAAAATTCATATTTTATTTTTAAATATTCCAACATAAGCGGACATAGTATTTGAGGTCAGAGCCAAACATAACATATGCTAACATAACAACACAGTGGCGCCCTCTACCGGCTCTGTATCATACGGAATGAGTTTATACATCGACATCTATTTACACACACAACTCGCAGAGTACAATACTATTGTCACCAACGCTGCTCTTCGAGCGGGTATACAGAATCCTGAACCTTTAGCACTGTCATCTCCAACCCGCCTGTCTGCGGAGATTGTGGCAAACCCCTCTCATGTAGAGGAGGGACATACTCCAACGACACATACACACACAGTCGTGTGCTTACAGTAGATATACAATATATATATGTATGTAGTCATCCAACATATAACATAATACATTATGTACACATTAACCGCTAATTATATATTAAGCTATTGTAGGAACTCACGCCGGGGCGTTTTCCAGTGCGGGTTCGATGCCCGCGTCGAGCAATCACGTCCCTCTCGGAGGAGGACTAGCTCCAATCTACATAATATACAACGCCGACACTGGCGCCCTCTGTGAGACAACGTCCGAACATACACACACACTTACTCGCTATATTTATAATGTTCCGACACGTCTGACAGTCTGACTCGACGCTCTGAACGTCTGTACTCAACGCGACAACAAATTTATCATCATCATCATCATCATCATCATCAGGCTATAAGTGCCCACTGCTGGGCGAAGGCCTCTTCTCAGGCGGAGAAGCTTAATTACAAGTCGAGGTTTCCTCACGATGTTTTCCTTCACCGTATGTCAGTGGTGTCTAAATACACTCAGAAGTTATTTATAACTTAGTAAATGTCACATTAAAAATCAATGATTATGGACCCCGGACTTGCTTGAAAACTTAATTAATTTGTAAAGACCTTTTCCCACTGATAATCCAAGAGCCCTTTATCAACACCAGCGACATCTATTGAGAGAGAATTACCAACATAACTTTAGTGGGGGGGATCTAGAGGGGGGCGTTGCCCAGCTGAAGGTGTCTCCCAGCTGATGATGACGAGAACAGCTGACGTACAGACAGACAGAACTACTCTCCACACATACACTATACGTCGACCAACTATAGCCATCTCTGTCTCTCATATGACATTAGAAAGAGATGCATATAATGTACCAATTTTATTAACTTTTTCTTCATTGTAAGTATAGTAAATTCGTGAAACAAAACTATCTATCCATCTCTTTCCAACTCAATACGATAGAAAGAGACGGCTATAGAAAATATTAAAAATACACTTAAACGTAGTTAATGACTCGACAACAATATATTAATATATTAACATTACGATAATTTACTTTATACAAGTATATTATATACCACACGTGTATATAGTGAGATCACGGGAACAGGATCCTCAACTACCTTTATATTCTGTGTCCAACGTCGCAATATACGACAATTATACAGGGTCTAAAAAGACACTTAACGAAGCCGAAACCCACGTATTCTACCCATTATTTGGATCATTTTTTTCTTTAAAACCATAGCTGGGACTCCAAGGGTTCTCGAGATATTGAAGGTCAAAGATGCATTATTTTTGCGCAAACGAATTCTAAGTATTATTACAAAACCTTTTTCGTTAAAAAACAGTAATGTACGTAATAAATAAATGCAGACCCGCACAAAAAACATCGTGCATCTCAGTAGGATTTTTATTTTACAGAATTGTTTTGTTGTTGCGAGGTAAAACGTCGACCTACGTACTTATCACAGCGTTTTAATGCTAAGCTGTGAACCTACGCACACAATGACACGAAGCCCGTTTGCTTTACATCGCGCGCAATAAATTGTTTTTTTGATGCCTAAAAATAAAAGTCGTTTCCCAGTGATAATTTTAGCGTAAAGCTACTTAGTTAGAACTGCAGTATGCGTAGTTAACGGCTTCGTTAAGTTTCTTTTTACATCCTGTATAAGTACGGATGTATGTTTGTTACTCTCTCACGTAAACACTACTGAACGGATCTCAATGTAATTTGGCACAGAGATAGATTATAGTCTGGAATAACGTTTAGGCAACTATTTACTGTTTTTGAATATCATTTGATCATGATTCTGGACACAAAATAAACTCGTTGGGGAAGTAAGGGAATGCTTTATCACTCGTCACATTACAAGCCAGTCGTGTACAAGTATATTATATCATTCATCCACTGGCGCGTAATGTCACGTTTTCAAATACACTTTTATAAGCGTGTCTATACGGCACTGAAACTACTGGACAGATTTTAATTAAACTCATATTATAAAGAGGATCTTTGGAACAAAATTCTTTCACTGATAGACAGCTACAATGTTCCCGAGTGCTGTAGGCTGTAAATTATACTTGATTGGTTTTAAACTTGTACTTTATTATTATACGCGTGCTAAGCCCCGGGCGGGAGCTAGTATAAAATATATAAAGAGGTAAAAATGTTTATAAGTTCATTCACAAACATTCCTTCATCCATCCGTAATAGCAACGCTGAGTATAAATGTCTCCACTATTTAATGGATGTCATTATACATAGAAACCTTCCTCTTCAATCACTCTGTCTATTAAAAAACCGCATCAAAATCCGTTGCGTAGTTTTAAAGATTTAAGCGTACATAGGGATATAGGGCCTTTGTTTTATACAGAGTCTCATTGAAATCGGTTCAGCAGTTTCTGTGTTTATTGATGTCTCCGCGTACACGCTCTCAAGTAGGTCAACAGATTACATACTTTGGACCTTATACGTTAGAGATTGCATCACTTACAGAATACAGTCCATAGTGTAGGGGGGAAGGGGGGATGCACTGAGTGAGCACTGATTAGTCCACCGAGTCTGTAAACGAGTGCAGTCGCCGGCGACTAGTGGGGCGACTAGTGGGGCGACTAGTGGGTGTCGCTAGCAGTGTAGGCACGAGTCGCGGGCCGACTGCAACAGAGACTAGTGTGAGTACCGAGGGATGTATGCGTGGATGGACGCGCGGATGGATGGATGTACCTGCTGGGCTGGTCCTCACGCGTACGTGTGGCGACTGGCGGCAGTGGAGCCCGAGTAGGCCGGCTCCAGTCTGCCGGGAGACGGGGCAAGGCATTAACACGCCGCGCTACACTGTCTGCTCATGTTACTGTTGTTACCTACCTGTAGTGTCTGTACAGCAGGTCATGCGGCCGGGGGGACGCGGGCCCCGGGCCCCCCGCAGCGGGCCCCGCGCCCCCCGCAGCCGGCCCCGGGCCCCCCATGCCGGGGCTCGGGCTGCGGGACCCGCTCGCCTCCGCCGCCACGCTGCTCAGTCTGCTCACTGTCAGGGACACATCAACTATTCAAATATATTATTACAAATGTCGCAGCCGCATAGATGCAGTCCCAAATAGTCAGATTCATACTTTTATGCAAATGTTTCAAACGATACTTTTCTATGAAATTTTGAATTATAACGTCATAGTATTTTTACATCAAGAAGCTTAAAAAACATCAATAATTATATAAAATTTAGTCGATGAATAAAAATATAGTTATTATTAAATATTTTATTACATTGAAACGACGAATTAATTCAGTTTCGACCTAGACAACTACCTTGTCATGTAGAATGTATTGTAATGTCAGCCATGTCGCTTGACTATCATCATAATGTCACTGACGGACAGAAAAATATAGTTTTTGTATTTGAACCTTCCCTGACGAATGTTGCAAGACTGAAGTTAACTAACAGACAGTGTATATATGTATATGGATGTAATGTCTGAAGAGAATCACTATCTTAGTGTATGGAGGTAGAGTATACATACGGGCGCCATGATGCGCCCCCCCGGGCGGCAGGTCGGCGCCGCGCTGCGGGGACGCGCTGGCCCGGCTGCGCCCCGCTGGAACATATTCAACTTCAAGTAATCCGTCTCTCCAACAACACACACAATCACAACTTGTAAAGACAGCAATACGTACGATTATGGTGTGTAGGCGCTAGTTGCGCGAGTCCCGGCCGGTCCCCCCTCGCGTGGGGGAGTGTGGCGGACGAGCGCTCCCTGTGCGTGGGGGGGAGCAGGCCGGGGTGCTGGGGGTGCTGGGGGTGTTGGGGGTGCGAGCCCCCTAGCAGGAGGGGGGCTGCACCAGCTGGAGCGCGGGACGATGAGTATGCTGGAGAACGGAAAAGGTGAATGATAGCTCGCCTAGGTTCAAACCTCACTTGTCCCTCCTCCCCCCAGTCCACATACCCCTAATGACGGAGAGCTCGATGGCGGCGCGCAGCTCGTCCTCGTCGGGCCGACTGCGCAGGCACGATATACCCTGCTCACACAAACGTACAAATAAATATATATTACTAGATATCTGTCGCAGCGCCATGTTACACAGCCTGCCTCGATACATGCACTGTCCGGCACAGAGAGAGTACTTCCACTCGATCCACTAGTCAACTAACTGTTCAGCTTTATAAGGGGGCATCCATAATTAACGTCACACGTAAAGGGGGGCAGGGACGGGATCGACAAAGTGTGACATGGGGTGGGAGAGGTCTCAAAACATGTGACGAAGAAATGTGACCAACTGTAACAAGGATAAGGGGGAGAAGGGGGGTCTTAAAATCATTAAATACATGTGACGAACTATGGATGGCCCTTATATTAGGTACTTTAAATTACTTTAAATTTAAATAATAAATTGTGTTGCTCTGAAAATATCAAAGATTTTTTTATTTAATATAATATTTAAATTTTTACAATAAATACAAAATAATACTTAATCAAAATCCTACCTGAAAATATCAAAGAAACGACATTTAAAGTTTATTAATTGGTTTGTCGATTCCTCTTTTACTGAATTATATATTATTATAATATTTAAACCTCCTCTGCTTTATTCAGAGTAAATGACACTGACAATTATAATGTCAGTGGCGCCATCTATACATAACCAAGTGTAAACTTGAACTGTTTTATCTACACACCATGGACTACACATAAATACTTTAAAGAAATTTAATTTCTTTATATATATGAGACATCTAACAATCTATATATATATATAGTGTGTTAAGGTAAACGAGGCACATATATAAGGAGCAGATTCTGGTGCTGAAATAGAACAACTTTTTCAATAAGACCAATATGGAAACCTAACTCCTTGTTTACTAGTCCATGCACAATGATCACTCAGCTGTTGCGATTGTATGGGGAAATTAGAGATTTGAGATATTGGTCGCATGTATAAAGTTGTTGTAATTTGAACACCGAGAATCGGCTCCTCGAATATGTAACTGGTTTAGTCTGACATACTATATATACATCACCATTGCAGTACATTTGAGAATGTAATAATATATTCTGTTGTATATTGCTGATAGTATTACTGGATATAAACATCGAGAGATTCTATTGTGGGAGAGCCATGCTTCGGCACGAATGGGTCGGCTCGACCGGAGTTATTCCACCTACGTTATATTTCGCCGTGTAAGTGAGGTTACCGGAGATTCCGGAGACCTAATCCTGCCCGCCATCATCTATCCTCAAATCACCTATGCGTAAATCCCTATCAACCAAGAGGCCGTCAACGCACTCGTAGAAACTTCTTTGGTATTGCAAGTGTCCTTGGGAGGAGCAGATTGCTTACCATCAGGTAATCTTAAGCTCGTTTGCTGACCTATCCCTCTTTGTTGTTAGGGATCTACGGATAAGAGATTTGAGGGCAGTAGATGGAGGGAGTTGAGGATTGCGCCTCCTATAACCTAGTTGTTTAACGCCAGCTTTCTGTGAGGCCGTGGTATCACTCCAGTCGAGCTCTTTATGTTGACGACGTCGGTACAACAAATGTAATAATAGTGTGAAACAAAATCAATGTATACAGACCGGGGCGTGTTCCCTCGAGGGCCGTGAGTGCGCCGCCCCGGCTCGCGCCGCGCGGGACCCTGCGCAATATGTTACAAAGTCAAAATCATAGTCAAAAATCATTATTTCAATTAGACCCTTACAGACACTTTTGAACGTCAAACAAAGCTTAAAGATATAAAGTGTCAGTCTGTCGGTCAGTCCTCTAGTGAAGCTATTTGCTCGTTCCAAAGTGTAGATTCCTATGGAGAAGAACGAGCAACAAACTCCATGGTTACTCTTTTTAAAAAAACAGTTGGTTCAATTATATGACAACAGAACTTTAAGGACAATAGACAGTCCGGAGCTGACCAGTCCCAATTGACGGCGTCCGTTCACGAGCATGACACGTACACCAGCATCGCCCAACTCAACCATAATATAGGGAATCGAGCGATCCAGTGACCGTGCCACCGCCAATGCGACCTTTCAGTGAGCATGACAACTCAAAGCTGACACAAGGACCGTCTATACATATCTCCGTACACAACATATATATATATATATATACACCACATCCAGTATATAAACACTATTTATATCACTCCAGCAATGAAGGAATGAAGTAGAAGAGTAGCACTGACCTGGTCTGGGAGTATGCGTGGCGCCGTCGCCCAGGTCCAGCTGCAGTACTGCGCCGCCGCTGTACTCTGCAACGTTTTTTTTTTTTTTTTTTTTTTTTTTTTTGTGAGGGGAAAATCATCAAATGACTTCTCCCGCCCAGGGCCGGGCAGGAGGGAGTGTCAGACTCTTACTGACTAAAAACCCCCCTGTTCCTTCTCCTGCTCTGTGCCGAGGTCGCGGTACCTTATTGCGCTTACCCCGCAACCCCGGCTGAACATCAGCCCTTTAGGGCCCCGTCTGTGGTGGTCTATTGGCTCTTTGAGGCGCGCGCGGAACGCTACGCGCCGTACGCTCGGGCCTGGTTCTGGTCGGGCGGCGAGCTGCCCTTACTCGCCGACCGCAGGCCCGTACTTACGGTGGCCGGAGATCGTCCCTCGATCCCCGACGCCCGTAGTGTCGCCAGTTGCGGCTGCTGGGGCGTGAGGAGGAGGATTGCTCCCTCACGCGGGCCGCCTCTCTCTTTGCGAGCATGACTGCTTCACAAAAGGAGGAGACGGCGTCCCAGTTCCTCTCACTCCGCACCATGGCCTCGACTAAGGCCGGGCGCGAGAGGTCGCCGCCGCCAATCACTTCCCTGAGGATACGGCGGTGCTCAGCCCAGGCAGGGCATACCGCTACCGTATGCTCCACCGTATCCTCTAGGTGGTCCTCACAATGACGACACTCGGGCGTTTCCTCCCGCTGAATCCGAAACAGGAACCTACCGAAGCTGCCGTGCCCGGTAAGCACCTGCGTCAGACGGAAGGTGAGGACGCCGTGGCGTCTCTCAAGCCACTCCTCAAAGAGGGGTCTTACCGCTGCTATGGTAGCGTGCCCGGCCCTCGGTTGCGACAGTCGTTGTCTCCACTCTGCCGTGAGATCTCGCCGGAGCTCATTCCGCCACGCACTTATTTGGCGCGGCAGAGGATCTTCGCCCCGGCGACGCGCGTCTGCGCGCAAACTGTAGACGCGCGCGAGGTACTCTGCAACGTCAAGCGACACCAATATACTTTACCGCGTGTACCTACTACTGGGGGAAGATGTAGGGTGGTTGTACGTGACTTGTCCAGCAGGGCGGCGGCGTGGGCTAGCGATGATGATGATGTTTTTTTTGTCAGGGGAAACTCGTCAAATGACTTCTCCCGCCCAGGGTGAGGCGAGAGAGAGTGTCAGACTCTTACTGACTTAAAACCCCCCGTTCCTTCTCCTGTTTTAGGCCAAGGTCGCAGTGCCACATTGCGCTTACCCCGCAACCCTGGCTGAACATCAGCACTGTAGTGTCTGTGGTGTGGGACCCCGTATGTGACTTGAAGGGATTATCACACAGCCAGGGAAGAGGTAGGGTGGTGTCCAGCAGTGGGACGGTTGTGAGCTGATGATGATGATGATAAAGTAGTTACCCCAGGGCGGCGCATGGCGGAAGTAGTCGCGGGCAGTGAGCAGGTGGGTGTTGGCGTTGGGCGCCATGGCCACGTCGGGGACCATCGCGGACAGGCGCGCCCCCGCGCCCCCCGCGCCCCCGGCCGCGCCCCCGCTGCCGCAGCCCGACGTCCGGGACGAGCACGACGACAGAGACTGTCTGCGGGACAGAAACGGTAATACTCCGACGTGTACAGTCACAGCCGGAGACTGCAGCAACTGATTGCAGGACAATCAACACATACAGACTCTGAGGTGCATAACGTTAATATTATAATAGAATGCACGCACCAATTGCGAATGTAATACATAAATATAATGTGCATTGTGAGTATCTACAAGTAAACTAAATGTGAATTTTGAAGTAGAGGAAAGAGATGACAAACAGAAATCCTAATAAATGTATGATAATATGTAATGTATTCAATACTACCCATAAACATGGGCTCACAGAGTGACTTTAATCGCTAAAACTGACAATATTCATTTATTGTTTTGTTGCTTTTTACGACTAGAAGAGATACGATTACCACCTCGTTGCCGGGCCTTTTAGGGGTTAAGGATTCGAGTAATTGAGAGATTAGGAGATTGGGGAGGTGCGATTTGGGAATTGGGGGTTGAAATTGGAAACGTGGAATGGGAAATGGGGTTGTGGTTTGGGGGTGGGGGTTAAGAGATTGGTATGGTGATTAGGAGATTTGCATGGAGATTGGAGATAGGGGTATTTGGGATTGGAGATTGGTATGGGGATTAGGATATTTGTATGGAGATTCGGGATGGGGGTGGGGTATTGGAGATTGGGTCTTAGTTTAGTGAACTGGAGTTGGGGATTGGGCACTGGGGGGACCTGCGGGTGGGGGATGGGGGGTAGAAGATTGCGTCCCGACTCACCGATGCTGCGGCGCGTCGGCGGGCCTGGCGGGCGCGTCCCGCCTGCAGAGCGCCGGCCGACAGGAGTCTGGAGACACAAGGTCTGAGACATTACAATGTGTCGCTAAGCAAAGCAGACAGTGATCGAGAGTGGCGAGAGAGAGCAGAGTGGACAACTGACCGAGCGCTACATGCAGCGCGGGCGCCGGCGACGCGCAGCGCAGCGCCCCGCTGCCGCCCAGCGTCCTGCGGACAGACACACGCTGTACCACCGTCACGAGCGACGCGGGCGCGTCACACCCCGCTCACTCACCTGCAGCACTCGAGCGCGCCCTGCTCGTCGGGCTCTGCCTGTCTCTGCCTGTCTCGCTCGCCGTCGCCCTCGTCCTCCCTGCAGACACAGACCATGAGAGACTGTCCGGCTCCACTCTAACTATATGGGACGCCAGTCTGTCTGTCCGCACTACCTGTCCTTGTCCATCTCGGCCAGCACGAGCTCCGCGCATGCGTCCGGCAGCGACATCTCGCGGACTGCGCGCAGCGCGATCTGGGGGGCGTTCATATATTGGATTACTCGCTGGGTATAAGTAGGGGAATGGGGTATGTCATAACTGGGGGATGGGGTATGTCATAACTGGGGAATGGGGTATGTCATAACTGGGGAATGGGGTATGTCATGCCTGGGGAATGGGGTATGTAATGACTGGGGAATGGGGTATGGCGTAATTGGGAATGAGGTATGGCGTAACTGGGAATGGGGTATGGTGTAATTGGGAATGGGGTATGGCGAAATTGGGAATGGGGTATGGGGAGTTTCATGATGAGTGTATAGGGAATGGTGTTGTTGGGATTGAAACTGCGAAATGAGGATTGGTGTGTTGGAGTATGGGGTATGGAGTATAGGGTATGGGGTATGGGGTATGGGGTATGGGGTATGGGGTGTGGGGTATGGGGTATGGGGTGTGGGGTATGGGGTATGGGGTATGGGGTGTGACATGGTGTGAGGTAGAGATGAGCAAGAGTGTGCAGTGTGCAGTACCTGCTTGTAGACGGTGGGCGTGTCGGCGGCGTGCAGCGCGAGCGCGCGCAGTGCGGCGGGCGTGGCGCGCAGGTGCCGCGTGCGCGCGCGCAGCGCCCCCAGCACGCGGGGGACGCGCCCGCCGCCCGCCGCCCGCCGCCCGCGGGGACTGATGATCCCAACTACACCAGAACCATCACTAGTGCCTGCGCCGCCTACGCCGCCATCATTCTACCCAACTTCTGCGAGGAGATCCTGACACTTGACTCGACACACTTACACGAGCAAGTGCACTGTGACCGCGACCTACGCTCGCAGGCACTCACACAGAGATCAATGCACTTTTACTTTAGCGCTTATCTAGACGCCGTTTGAGTCGGACTACTTGCATTTTTATGCACATTCTTCCCATTTATTCTCTCACGTCATGCTTATGCTGGGAGTGCACCCCATTGTATGCTGAATTCTCTTAATGCTTCATATATTTGTTTGAATATTTGCTTCACACATCTCCGAGTACCAACGAGGCTCATTGTCAAGTAGCTTAATACTTACATCCATACACCTTCACATTACATACAGTACCTACTTAATGAATATAAAGCTGCATCATTCGTTCGAGGAGACAGATTTATTGAGGATAAGGGTGTTGGAATAACAAAAATCAATCTACTCATTATTCTCACGCCACTATTATAAGTGCCTTAAGTGGCCAGCTAACCCTCACTGAGATGTTTGCATCTCGCCCTCATTCTGTTCTGCTAACGCCTTCAGGCAACACACACCTCCTAAAGTATAATAATAAATTCCACCTCTGCTATTTGATAAATAAACTTAGTTTTATTTCATCAACCCAAACCTAACAGGTTATGGGCCCAGTGCACCAGTGCACCAGTGCAGTGCAGTAAAGTACAGTGTAAATAATAATTACTAGAAGTATCGTAAATACTTTTGAAAGACAATTAATAAATTTTAAGTGACTTTATTTTTATAAATATACTGTGAAATTAAAATCAGTGAAAATGGACAGCTCCAACTTAAAACGGAACATTAAACAATTCGACGGTGCAAGATATAGTGTTTGGAAATTAAGAATTCATAATCTATTAAGTGAACGTAATGTACTTCATGTAATTGATGAAGAATTGCCAAACGAACCTAATACTGAGTGGATTAAAAGTGTCAAAATAGCGAAAAATATTTTGGTAGAATATTTATCAGACACTTTACTCGGTTTAGTTACTGAACAATCTTCAGCTAAAGACATTTTCAATAAATTAGATTTGATATATGAGCGAAAAAGTACATCTAATCAGTTAACTTTAAGAAAACAACTTCTCAATATGAAGTTTAAAGAAGACCAATTAGTAAAGCATTTTCAAAATTTTGATGATTTAATATGCGAACTAGTATCGGCGGGAGCAACGTTAAATGAGAACGATAAAATAACGCATTTATTCATGACACTACCCAACTCTTATAATAGTGTTATTACTGCGATCGAAACTTTAGCCGAAGAAAATTTAAACTTGACGTTCGTGAAAACTAGATTGCTAGACCACGAAATTAAACTAAACAATGAAAATCGAGACACAAGTTTAAAAGTATTACAAGCTAAAACTACGTCGTTTTCAAAAATAAATAAATTCCCAAATGCGACCTATCATCAACAGAAACGGGGTCAACAATTATTTAATAACAGATTTAAAAGAAATTATAAATCTAAAAACGTGAAATGTCACCATTGTGGAAGAAAAGGTCACATTATGAAAAACTGTTATTACAACAAGATGGCAACTGAACGGTTTCAAAAGCCTGAATACCATCGAACAATACAAGTAGTGAATACTGAAACAACTGATCCAAACATATCCGGATTTGCATTTATGGTAGGAGCAAATGCCATAAAACGTAATAACCAAGAAACCATTACATTTGTGCTGGACTCTGGCGCTTCAGACCATTTCATCAACAGGCCAGATTTAGCGGAAAAGTTTACAGAATTAGAAAAACCAGTAAATATCTCCGTGGCGAAGAACGGTACTTACATCCAGGCTACAAGAAAGGGAAACTTACCGGTTATTAGTAACTTGGGATTAAAAGGTATATTGCAGGATGTTTTATTCTGTAAAGATATTCCATACAACTTGCTTTCAGTAAAGAAAATGCAAGAAGCTGGTATGACAATTATTTTTGGCAAAGATGGAAGCGTACAAATATTCGACACGGGTAAGACATTGGTAACAAAGGGTGAGTGTTTGAACAATTTAATTGGAATTAACTTTTTACTTGAAGGGTCTGTTGTGTGTTCTTTAAATAGAGTCGTAAATAACTATGAGTTGTGGCATCAACGTTTAGGCCACATTAGTAAATCAAAATTTATGCAAATAAAGCATAAAGAAATGTTTTCTGATATAGAGAAAATAAGTCATATTAAGCCATGTGACAACTTATGTGAAGCTTGTATTTATGGAAAACAAGCATGTTTACCATTTAACAAATCAAAGCCAAAGGTAACAAAACGACCACTATTTAAGGTGCACACAGATGTTTCGGGTCCCGTCACTCCTTCGACACTTGACAACAAAAACTATTTTATCGTTTTTGTTGATGAATTTACTCATTATTGTGCAACATACTTATTAGCTCATAAATCAGATGTTTTTACTGCTTTTCGGGATTATGTAACAAAAAGTATGGCACATTTTAACCTGAATATTGTCAATTTATATTGTGATAATGGTGGTGAATATTTATCGAAAGAAATGAGAGAGTACTGTGTTACAAAAGGTATAAGCTACCATTTAACAGTGCCGCATACGCCAGCTTTGAATGGTGTAGCCGAAAGAATGATAAGAACATTAACGGAACGCAGTCGGGCTATGGTGTCCGGTGCGAAATTAGAGAAAACATTCTGGGGTGAGGCTGTGTTAACTGCTACTTATCTAGTAAATATCACACCCACAAAAGCACTGAGAGTTGATAACACACCATTTGAATTGTGGCATGGTAAAAAGCCGCAACTTAAGTATTTGAAAGTCTTTGGTTCAACTGTTTATTTTATGAATAAGACAAAAAGACATAAGTTTGATGAAAAGTCATCAAAAGGTATCCTGGTTGGATATGAACCAAATGGATATAAGGTGTGGTTACTGGTAGACGAAAGGTTTGTGAAAGTCAGAGATGTAATAGTTGATGAGATTAATTTCTTATCAAGTAGGCCAGTTAAGCCTGAAGGAATTGTGAGTAAAAATTCCATTAAATCTGACGGGCACTCCAATGGTTGGGAGGTGCAAAAATCTGATAAGATGAAATCAGATAGTTGTATGAGACAAACGTTCGAAATACCTATGTCATTAGATCCACCATCTAATAAATCTGTAAGTGAAACAGATGTGTACTCAGACTCTGCATTTCCAAATGAATTGACAATATCTCAAGATGATAAAACATCTCCGAATCTAAGAAGGAGTGAAAGGATTAAAAACATACCTAAAGTGTGTTATGATGACAGTAAAGATGATCTATCAAATAATTATTTGCTGCATGCACAATCATTAGTATGTTCTATACCTAGATCTTTTGATGAAATCCAATCCAGGGATGATAGACATTTATGGGAAAGTGCTATAAAAGAGGAAATTAATTCACTCCTCAAAAATGAAACCTGGACCCTGGTACAAAAACTATTGACAGAAATATCATTGATTGTAAATGGGTATTTTCTATTAAAAATGATGAATCTGGAAAACCATTAAAATATAAAGCGCGTTTAGTAGCTCGTGGTTTCAATCAAGAATATCTTATTGATTATAATGAGACGTTTGCACCTGTTGCAAGAATAGCAAGTTTCAGATTTATTTTAGCATTCGCAAATCAGTATAGATTGCTAGTGCATCATATGGATGTAAAAACGGCATTTTTAAATGGGAAACTTGAGGAAGAGATTTTTATGAAAGTACCACAAGGAATCCCATGTACAGATAACAACTTGGTCTGTAAATTAAATAAGTCGTTATATGGATTAAAGCAATCAGCACGTTGTTGGTTCGCAACGTTCGAACAAGTCTTGATTGAAAAAGGTTTTCGATATTCATCAGCTGACCGATGTCTGTATATATTACATGCAGGTGATATTTCTAAAAACATTTATGTGATTTTATATGTTGACGATCTTGTTATCGCAACGGCAGATATCAAAACCATGAACACCTTTAAACAATACTTAATGAAAAGGTTCAAAATGGTAGATTTGAAAGAAATAAAGTGTTTCTTGGGGATTAAAATTGAAAGAAGCAATAACAAAATAACTTTAGACCAAAAACTGTATATAGAAACAGTCCTTAATAAATTTAACATGAGTGACTGTAAACATGTCAGTACTCCACTTGAAACTAAAGTTGATTACGAAGCTTTAAATTCGTGTGAAACAATGAATGCCCCTTGTAAAAATCTTATCGGATGTTTAATTTACATTATGGTTTGCACTCGACCCGATTTGAGTTATAGTCTAAACGTCTTGAGTAGATTTGCTAACAAAAACAACCATGCACTTTGGTCACACTTAAAAAGAGTGCTTCGTTATTTAAAAGG